GAACTACATGACTAAATTTGTTCCCTCTGGGGAAATAAAATGGTGTTAGTGTGATGGGAAACTGTACACGGCGTGTTGTCACAGATAAGTGTGCTTAGCGAGAATCATCTTTACAAGAACAAATGCAGTGAGACAGGGTACTTTACCCAATTATGGATACCTCTCAACAGTCACACGTAATACAAGCTAATCCAGTGGAGTTCTTGCCCAACCATGGGATGGCTAATATAAAACGACGTTACAACACAATGACGGTCTAGGCTGAGTTCCTGGTCAGCGAGCAAAATCTGGATGAAAACCTTAAGCTTGTTTATTTTAAGATAATCTAGCCAAGACGGCAAGGTTCAAAACCCCATAACACCATTAAACTGGATGAGTTTTCACCACTATAGCTCAATACATCAACGCATCCACACCACCCACGAGGTCATGACATCTGTTCACTCTCAGACGTGCACACGTCCTTCATTTTTGTAGAATAAACTGTGGTTAATGTTTATAGCCTGAAAAGGGCAACTGCTATCTGATGCACGGCGATTTCCTGAAGTACTGACAAGCAACGAGGAAGATCTCAATTGTCTCGCCCATTAGCGGAAACTATAATAAGGGCATCATTGTTGCAAAGCTATTGACTTTTCACTCGCTTGCTGTATGACATTCATTTAGCGGCTAATTGAATGCTTGTTCAATTCTTTTCTCTCCGTTTTAATCCACCGCTCACGTTACAGCTGAGAGACTTGAACCTGCAGTCTGGGAAATGCAACGCATGGAAAATAAAGCTCGTTCACAATCTGCAAACAAAGGCAAGGATAACTCATGGTCACATCCTTTCTTAGATCGTCTTCTTAGTCCTCCATCTTTCACCATATTTAATTGAATTCAGTCCAGTGACTATAAAAGCCATTCTTTTAATTGTGGAAATGTTTTCTTTATAAAAATCATGCTTTTATTTCTCTCAAATTTGGGTCAAATATGGACAAATCCAGCCATTGGGTTACATTTTTAAATTCCAATTTTAACCCAATGTTTATTGGGGTGTATACCCCATATTTGACCCACAATTGGGTTAAAACAACCCAGAATTTTTTTAGAGTGTATAATGAGTCTACTATAGCCAACTATAGTAAAAAACATTGTGTTTTGCGTTTATTGTAGTTTTACAACAAAACGAATAGTTACATTTTGTAGTTACTTTGGTTTTATTGCAAGTCCTGTAGTAAAACCATGGTTCCCGTTGTAAAACCATGGTAATTTGTTTTAATTACCATGGTTTTACTGCAAATGCTGTAGTGCCATGAAGTTCTTATACTACAACAAACATAATTAAACCATGGTTATTACAGTATAAAGCATGCATAATTTAGTTACTATTATTTTATTGCAAATGCTGTATTAAAAGCATGGATTAAAGCAAGTTTCTATGCGTTTACTACAAAAATTATATTGTTAAACCATAGTTACAATGATTTTACTACAAATGCTGTTGTAAAACCATGGTTAATTTTGAAGTTTCTATTGGTTTATAGCAAAACCCAGTTAAACCATGTAGTAAAACCATGGTTAATTTTATAGTTACTTTGGGTTTACTACAAAAAAAAAAACTACATAGTTAAACCATACACTGTAAAAAATATTTTCAAGATTTGTTATCACAACATATTTTCTTTTGTCAAATCAACTTTATAATAATTTATTTAGTTGAGATAACTTATTATTTTGAGTTTCTGATGATTAAATTATTCTCCTTCATTGTATTAACTCACTTTTTCCAGGTCAATCAACTTAAAATTTTAAGACAACCAGGTTACTTACTTTTTTAAGTTAAACCAGCAAAAAAAATTTACAGTGTAGTAATCACAACATTTTTTCTTTTGTCAAATCAACTTAAATAATTTATTCAGTTCAGATAACATAATTTTGAGTTTATAATGGTTAAATTAATCTCCTTCATTGTATTAACTCACTTTTTCCAGTTCAATCAACTTAAAATTTTAAGGCAACCCAGGTTACTTACTTTTTTAAGTTAAACCATCAATATTTTTTTACAGTGTAGTTACAATGATTAATTGCTATGGTTTCGTTGCAGTAAAGCCGTGGTTAATTTTCATAAGGGTTCTTTGCCCAGTTTTATACACTAAATGCTACAAAAAAATCCACCATTTAAATGTCAACACGGCACTCTAGCTAAACTTCATCTATCTCCATGCACGAGAGGGGAAAACTCTCTTCATGCTTCAGCTAGCTGCATTTCCAGTTGTGCAGATTCTGTCTCGACTCCGCTTAACTACTTAAAATGATGAGCAGCGAGTAGCTTGAGTAGAGACAGTTTCCAAGTAGCTGTGAAACACTACGTGTGATGGTAAACACTGGAGTCCGGAGGATGCTAAAGTGGATGTTATTACACAAATGTGTATCATCTCTCATGAATTTTTAATGCACAATTAAACCGCGCGATTAGTACAGCTGTGTGATGTTTGCATTTGCGGATCAGCGGGGTCTCCGCTAATAGCTATAATTCCACCCCGTCGGGTGAGGAAGGGGGAGAATAATAGCGTAGATGAGGTTTACCAGAGGAGGAACTGTGTGTTAAAGCCCATCATTACACTTTCTGTCCATCCATGTCCTCATCTCAGCCATATTCCCTGCTTATATCTTCATCTGAGGGTGTTTATTGATAGCGGTCAGCACCATCATTCCTGAAGTCGAGTCCGTTTTACACTTTTCCATCCAGTTTGCATGCCTGCTTAGGCAACATGCAGACCTAGTGTTGTGTTTCTAGGGCTATTAAAGTGCCCATATTCACAATTTTGGAATAATTTCACATCATTTAAAGTAAAAAAAATATTTTTCTCAGAAATGAAAAATGCATTCAATAAATTGGTTTGTGTTGAAATAGCACATGCTAAAGTAGTGCTTCACCCCGTGTTCTTTCTGTGAGACCCGGACAACAAACACCTACGGTCTACATCACCTTTGGCTTCTGTGATCAATGTCAACATCCCCTGAACGGACAAGCTGAACACTCGACCCAGAGACGCCATCAGAACAAGAACATCCATGACATCTCGGTCAATACGTGAAAGAGCAGAGGTTCAGAAACACTGCAGTACGTAAATCCCCTTTTATCCTTAGTTTAACAACTAAGAATTAATTAAATGGATTCAACTCCTGCGCACGGTTTGCAGATAAAAAAAAGTGCAAGATAAGAATAATAATGTGCTTTCCCTGCTTAGGCTAACTACAGGCTGGAATACACTACACCACTTCTTTCTATAAATCTGAAACCCAATTTATCATTCACTTGCCAACGTTTTAAGCAGTAGAGGAAACACATGCCAAATGAGGATCAGACTTTTAACTCTTTTCCCACCATTGACCGAATTGTACTGCTTTCCATATTTTCGCTTTTATATAGGAGTCTCTTTGGAAGCTTCTTTCCGCCACAGAATAAAACATTTAAAATGTAATTTAAAAGATATTTGCAACTTTAAAAGATAATTGCAACTTTTTACCTCACAATTGCAAGTTTACATCTCACAATTCTGACCTTATTTCTCAAAATTGAGTGATATAAACTTGCAATTGCGTGTTAAAGTCAAAATTGAGGGATCTACACCCACAATTGCGTGTTATAAAGTCAGAATTGCATGGTTTTTAAAACAAGCTTCCACAGTTACGCATCTTCTGAAAACTTGATCAAAACATATGAAGAGTTCAGATGCAAAAGCCTCTAAATGCCATTTGAAATTTTCTTCTTTAATGATGATTTTTATCAAACTTGTATATTTAAGTTCAGTAATTTCACTTAAATACCAATTAATAGGTAATTATCATTGCCATTTAAGTGAAATCACTGAACTTAAATATACAAGCTTGATAAAAATGATCATTCTAGAAGAAAATTTCAAATGGCATTTAGAGGCTTTGCATCCGAGCGCTTCATATATAAATAGGCGCAGAATAAGTAACACAGTCTCATCCCAAAAAGTCATATAACTGACGTTTTGGGACGTATTTTGACCATACGTCAATATCCGCCTTTTTAGGGCCCCCTTAAACGTCGGTAGATGGCGATCCCGGGCCGTCATACAACTGACGCTTTACCTTTAACGTCAGTTAGGTGACGGGTTAGGTTTAGGTATGGGGTAGAGTTAGGATCCCATAACCTCATCTACCGACGTTTAAGGGGGCCCTAAAAAGGCGAATATTGACGTATGGTCAAAAGACGTCCCAAAACGTCAGTTATATGACGTCTTGGGATGAGACCGGGTTGGAATAAGCAGAAACAAGCGATAGCATATGTATGCATATACAGTAAATGTGTTTTTGCAGTGTGTGGACACAACCCTCATACAATGAAAAAAAATCCATTCACACAACCATTGAGGAATTTTAACCAAAGTATGTAACAAACTTTACATGAAGACCCTAAAAGAATCATATACCAACTTGTGGAAAATGGGTACCCTTTAAACATTTTATAAATTGCCTAAAAAATGTTTAAATTCATCGATGCATCAAGCCTACAAACCCGATATGAAAATTTTAGCTGATACCGATAACCGATAATTCTTTATATTTGAAAGCCGATAACCGATATATCGGCCGATAAACTTAAATCCAAATGAGATTACAAATACAAAAGTCTCACAATTAAATCCATGTCCTGGGCGCACAATTATAATGATGTTCTCATTATAGTGTTGTATAGCCGATATGACAGATTTGCGCTGCACATGTTGTACTGAACCGTATTTTCATTTTTGAAGAGATTTCAATCATATTTCAAGAAATTCAAAAACATAAACAGTGCTCAACAAGTGTCTCAGCTGAAGGAAATAATACATTATTTATCGGCTTTAATATATCGGCCACATTTTCTTACCAGGCCGATAACGATAACATTAAAAATGAACATATCGGCCGATACCGATATGCTGGCCGATATATGGTGCATCCCTAATCAAGCCAATCTAGACAATCAGGAAAAGCCATCTTACCAATCTCTCGAGAGATCTGCACGAACGCTTCCACGCCACTTTCCCCGTAGTTCCCTTCCGAGGCCAGTGTGGAGACGTAGTTCCAGCCCATCGCCGTGACGATATCCAGCATGGCCTGGGCCTGGTAGGAATCCGGTGGAACGACGCGGGAGAAAAAGTCATAGCGAGTGTTGTCGCTCAGCTCCGGGGCTGTGGATGCATAGCTGATCTGAGGAATCTGCAGAGAAATAAAGAAAGAGAGCGTTTAGAGGGATGGTTCTCCGCTATCACGGCATATTTACCCAACGTATGCAAATTTATTTGTGCATATAAGTAGTGCGTTAGCTTAGCAACATATGCTAACCAGGATTATTATCGTTAACTGGAAAAATTAAATGTTTATGGAGCCCTGCACATGACGTGCGGACAATAATGTACATACCGTGGTAACAAATTAATTCTCTTGTTTTAGCAAATAATGCCAATATTGTACTAATTCGTTCTCTCAATTTGATTTAACTAAAACAAGGGAATCCATTATTACAACATCGCCACGATTTAGTAAAATCAGGGTACGAATTACTATTTTGTGCGCATAATTTACTTCAACGAGGAAACAAATGATTATATTGTGCGCACGATTTAGTAAAACGAGGGAATAAAGTATATAATTTGCACGATTTAGGAAAACAAGGGAACAAATTAGTAAAACGTGTTGGCGTATTAAAAAGTTGTGGGAACGAACACATTTTTCGCCTGCATTTCATACGGTGCTCCATGATTGTTACTTATATTTTTTACTTTTTTTATTTCAGCTTAGAAATTTGAAAATTACATTTCTTATTTTCATTTAGTTGCAGTTAAAGTACTAAAAAATTCAACCAAATAAACTAAAACTAACAACTAAAAATGTTTAAATACTACATAAAAAATTACAAAAAACACAGAAAAATACTAAAACTAACCAAAATTATTATAAACAGGAAAACATAATATATATATATATATATATATATATCAAACTCTCAAAGGCCAGATATCTCTGAGTAGGCAGGTTTGCCGCTGAGAATCATGGGTAATGGAGTCAGGGCGGTGGGAGGTTTGACTGACAGATTCATTTCTCAAGAGGAGGATGTTAAAGAAGCTCACGGTTGAATTATCCTGAAGTGTTGTATTACAAATCAGTTTTTGAGATGCAGCTCACGTCAATTTACACAAACAGAGTTAAACCCAAACACCCCCAAAGGTGCGACAGCACACAATCACGCTCGAAGATGTAAATAAGAAAAGATTTAGCCACAAAGTGCTCGAGGAACATCGCTGTATGTGTGGATAGCTTTGTCAAGTATAAATTCATGAGTAATGATGGAGAACAAAGTTGTGACATTGAAAAATACGTCAAATTTACACCGTCTCCATGCAGCAGAGTGAAAATTGAAATCTGACACTGTAAGACTGATAGATAATCAAAGAGTTTTTGATAAATGTGAAACAAGACAGCCTCAATGCTCTCAGCGTCTTACACAAAAACTATGTTGCTAATAAGATGTCAAGTGAACTTTTGCGGGTTCACTCATCTGAAAAGGTTAAACATAATGCAATGCAAACTTTCATTAAGTATACCAGTGGCGGCTCATGAATATTTCATGAGAAAAGGCAAACAAATAAGAAAACACCCAAGAGGCCAAAATACATAAAAAACGGGAAAGATAACTCCACTACTTAATGTATAACACTTCTAAAATGAACAAATATTGCTTTCTGAGATAAAAAGTAGCATATTGTGAATATGAAGTAATGATCTCATATCAAAAAATCATTGGTCTCAATTAAAGGACAGTGAATTTTAAACATCTTTGGTTATGAAATAACTTAGTATTACATGTGGAACTCTCTCGGAAATGTCACGTATACTATTACAGTTGTCAAGGATAATTGATCGTGTTGATTATAGCATTATATTTATATCTATGGCATTATATTTTGATGGTTCTCTGGTCGTTTTTTGGTCGTTTTCTGGCCTTGATTTCAATTAAAAGCCATTTTTATTTTGTACAAACAAAGAAGTTTTCAGTTTGAAACTTATAGGATATTCTTATAGTATGATGACCTCTTACTGTATATGTCTAAAGCTCAAGGAAAATTTGATGGCCCCTTTAATTGTAAAAACCACTATAAATCAAGTTAAATTCTGATATAAAATGAATAACACATCCTCTGTGAACATAAAAGCATTAAAGTGTTTGATTTTTACAGTCAATATCCCCTTTTTATATTTCCTCAAACTATTGCTGCATTTATTTGACCAAACATTTAAAAAACGAAAACGAAAAAAAAAAAAACCTTTGTTTACCTGTAAACTCCAGTGCAGGTGTAAAACACGGCAGACGTAGTTTTAAAGCGCACTGAATGAGAACTTTAATATTGAGCTGAATATTGAGCGGTTGTAGTTTATGACTCTGGCGGATAAAAACACTACTATAAAGATCTCAGCATGAAATGTTCTTCTGGCCAAGCACAACACAACACAGATCTCAGGAGGACGCCTGAAAACAGCATCACACCGCACGAACACAGAGGCATTTGCATTAAAAGAACACGGCATTGAAGACACACACATGAAGGGACAAAACACACCCGAGGCGATGTGCGAAAGGCTGGAAGATAAGAATGAAGAAATGGGATGTTTGTGACAGCTCTGTGGTTTTACGGAAAGGGGAAGTGATCAAGAGATCAAGAGCATTTCAACTTAATAATCCTCAGAGACTCGTTAACCCATGACTGTTCAATAGTTCAAAGAAATATAAGCTGTTGAAAGCATTTGTGACAATGTTTATTACCACAACCTGCAATGCTGACATATGGATAAACGATGGATGGACGGATGGATGGATGGATGGATGGATGGATGGATGGACGGACAAGTGGACGGATGGATGGATGGATGAATGAATGGATGCATTGGATGGAGGGATAAATGGATGGATGGATGGATGGATGGATGGATGGAAAAATGGATGGATAAATGGATGGATGGATGGAAAAATGGATGGATGGATGGATGCATGGATGGATGGATGGATGCATTGAATGGATGGACAAGTGGACGGATGGATGGATGAATGGATGCATTGGATGGATGGATAAATGGATGGATGGATGGATGGATGGATGGATGGATGCACTGGATGGATGGATGGATAAATGGATGGATGGAAAAATGGATGGATGGATGGAAAAATGGATGGATGGATGGATGGGTGGATGGATGATGGATGCATTGGATGGATGGATGGATGGATGGATGGACTGGATGGATGGATGGATGGATGGATGGGATGGATGGATAAATGGATGGATGGATGGATGGATGGATGGATGGATGGATGGATGGATGGATGGATGGATGGATGGATGGATGGGTGGATGGATGGATAGATGGATGGATGGATGGATGGATGCATTGGATGGATGGGTGGATGGATGGGTGGATGGATGGATGGATAGATGGATGGGTGGATGGATGGTTGGATGGATGGATGGATGGATGGATGGATGGATGGATGGATGGATGGGTGGATGGATGGATAGATGGATGGATAAATGGATGGATGGATGGATGGAATGATGCACTGGATGGATGGATGGATGAATTGGATGGATGGATGAATTGGATGGATGGATGGATGGATGGACAGACAAGTGGATGGATGGATGGGTGGATGGACGGATGGAAGGATGCACTGAATGGATGCATTGGATGGATGGATAAATGGATGGATGGATGGAAGGATGCACTGGATGGATGGATGAATGGGTGGATGGATGGATGGATGGATGGATGGATGGATGGATGGATGGATGGATGGATGGATGGAAGGATGCACTGGATGGATGGATGGATGGATGGATGGATGGATGGATGGATGGAAGGATGCACTGGATGGACGGGATGGATGGATGGATGGATGGGTGGATGGACGGGATGGATGGATGGATGGATGGATGCATTGGATGGATGGATTGATGCTTTTTGGGGCATTAAATAATGGTAAAGTACCGTTAGGTTGATGAGCACAACCCTTCGTAAAATGTGCAAGCTGTTGGTAAACTCGACCCTAAGTGCCTCAGACTACTGTCACAGACATAAATGCTGTGGTGCATTGTGTATATGCATCCAGAAACAATTAAGCCATTATGAGGAAAATTCTCCCAGAATGCACTGCACTTTTGCAATTTTTGCAAATCCTTTGTGTTTTTATATTGTTTTCATATAGAGCGGTCAAACAACTAAAGCTATAATGCAAGATTGGATGTCACGAGTATAATATCTGATCATCATACACACATACACATGTGCTTTCGCATTAATTGCAGCGTGTGTGTTTGAGTCCCTGCACGGCCGCTGTATAAAGCTGATAGATGCTTCTCCAGCGCTGCTAATTAACCCTTGCACAGACCTTTATTGTCCGACATTCAGACAGCGTGAGGCAGACATGGACCTTAACAAAGGGTGCAAATGCAAGATTGGACCCGTCCAAACACACACAAACACACACACACACACACACAGGCACCCTCATGTAATTACGGTTCCATTGATTAATGCGTCTTGTATGCTGAGATTACATGGATCTGACGACACGACTGATTCCCTGGCGAGTCTGTGTTGTGTGAGTAGAGGAGACGTATTATATTATAAATCTGTGTGTGTGTGTATTCGCTTATGCATTTAATAGCACATCATAGAAGACTAACAACTCATTGCTATCGAACCTTTTCCTCAAATCTTAAATGCATATGGTAAATTCAGAACAATTTTTTAAATTAAGATAAACAGTATGTATTGTAAAATGTACTTGGGTACAACATATCCATACTACAATATAATTAATTGATGCCCTTTATGTAAAGTAATTCAAAATCCCAAATTGTTTAAATGATGCATTCAGTTTAATGTTGTCAAATCTGTGAAATCTGTAATTTCCCAGACTAACAGCATTTTTTAGGTAGCAAACTAGTTTAGATAAAATACTTGGTCTCAAATCAAAAAACTAATTTAATAATAAAATAGCCACTGTGTATGAAAGTCCCATTTTTCTGAGGACGTAACCATAGTAACTGGCTGATAATTCTGATTCTGATACTGATTCTGATCAGATTGGATTATTAAAATAATATTGAACAGTACATCAACAAAACAGAGCATACCATCATTAGTTATACATCTATTATAGA